GAGTGGAAATGGGAGTGCATTACTGTGGATTTTATGACTGGATTACCCTTGACTTTGGTAAGTATGACTCTGTTTGGGTGATTGTGGACCGGTTGATCAAGTCAGTTTATTTCATTTCGGTGAAGACTAGCAATAATGCGGAACAATTGGCTAGGATCTACATTCACGAGATTGTGTGGTTGCATGGAGTGCCCATTTCTATTGTGTTTGATAGAGGTGTACAGTTCAACTGTCATTTCTGAGTTCTATGCAGTAGTAGATGGGTACCAAGCTTGAGTTGAGTATCACTTTCCATCCTCAGACCGAGGGTCAGTCTGAGTGAACTATTCAGGTGCTTGAAAATATGGTTTGGGCTTATGTCATGGACTTTGGTGGTCATTGGGACCAATCCATATCTTTTGCAGAGTTTGCTTATAACAATAGTTACTGTTCCAACATTTATATGGCACCGTTTGAGGCTTTGTATGAGATAAGGTGTAGATCTCCTATTGGAAGATTCGATTCGTTTCAAGTACGACCATGGGGCACAAATTTGTTGAAATACTCCATAGCTGAGTGAAGTTGATTCAACAATGCCTTGTGACAACATAGAGAAGGCAGAAGAGGTATGCAGATAGACGTGTTTGGGATGTGGCCTTAGCTATTGGTGAGCGAGTTTTGTTTAAGGTGTCACCCACCAAGAGTGTGATGAGGTTTAGAAAGAAAGGAAAATTCAGTCCGCGGTTCATTGGACCTTTTGATATTTTGGAGAAGTGTGGAAAGGTAGCTAATAGGTTGGTTTTGCCTCCGAGCCTTTCAACGGTCCACTCTGTGTTTCATGTCTCGATGCTTAAGATATACCTTCATGATGATTCTCATGTGATTCAATGGGATTCAATTGCTTGAATAAAAAATTGTCCTTTGAGGAAGAGCCAATTGCTATCTTGGATAGAAAGACTAGACAGTTGAGATAAGCAAAACTAGCAAACTCTCAAATCCCTGAATGGACCCTCGGGATTCTGAAAGAATCCCGTTCACACAAAAAAAATATGCTACTCGACTAAACTCGACGTTTTGGACTCAATGGAACCATCGCAACACGATCCAAGGTTTCCTTAACTCGAAACTCGTGAAAGCCACCAAAAATGAACATAACACTTAAAAGTCCAAATCAAGTTTTGGACCTTCAAAAATTCAACCAAGATCTCTCCTAGACCTAAAATTGTCCCCTGAATCCAACAGAGCTGTCAGAAATCCAATCTGAGCATCTGAACCCTGAATGTTGACCAAAGTCAATCCAAAGGCTAACATTTCAATAATTTCTAACTTAGGACCTCAAATCCTCAAACAGACTCCGAATGTAAAATTGACAAATTTCTTAGACCAATTTCCACATTTTGGGACTGATGGAATTGACGGAATTCCATTTCGAAACTCAAAACTTCAAAAGACACCAAAACTCATTTTTAACAACTTTAGCCTTTCAAACTTCTAAAATTTCTATAATTTATAAATTTTAACTCAAAATTCAAAACCATTTTTAGAATCCGATTAGAACTGACTCGGGGTCCATATCGAGAGGGGTAAAATGATAATTTTATAAAAAATTCAAAAAATGACCTTCCAAATCATTACACTTTAGTTAACTTGTCAAGTGATTTTCTATACTCTTTTTTGATGTCTTACGCAGGCATAGTGTGGCACAATATCGTATACCCTCGAAACTATCTTTATAATACTCTTGTTCATATCAGATACGACACACATGTGTTCTCTTTCCCCATACACCTCTCTAAATTGCTCGAAGAACCAAGTTCAAGAAGCATCATTTTTTTGAATCAAGAACACCATATGTTTGTGTTAATATATTTCCCGCATATAAACATACATATAAAAAAATATATAATCTTTAAAACTGTATGATAGTGTATTCAATTAACATCAAATACATACTTTATCCAAAGTATTGACAGACACGAATGAATGTCCTATTATAAGTGCCTCTAAGGTGGCTGACATCCACTACAACAATTGATTTAGAACTTTCAAATTTTTTTATGAATGAACATAAAGAAACAAAAAGACATAAAACTTGATTCTCATCGGTCTTCTTCATTCTTATATGTGAGCCGAGGTACGTGGTATCTAATATGTACAAGTATCTTGTTAATTTATTGTATGAATTAGAAGGTGTTCCCCTCATTGAATCTACAACCTTTTTCTTAGCCCTCCATGCCAACATGTAGGTTATATCAACTCGAATGTTCAATTTAACATCATCTATTATATCCTTCAGTGTGTATTTGCTGTTATGATTGGATAACTTAGGTTTAACTATTGTTGCTTGTCATTGAGAATACACTATGTCCTTCAAGGGTATGATCCATGTTAAAATCTCTAATTCTAAACATTTCAGATTTGTTGGTATTTGACGATTTCATTATCCACTTACAATCTTCGTATACACAAATAAGAGTATAACTGATACATATACAAATGAATACTTATCAAACAAATATGCATACACATTTGAAAATGAAATAAGAGTATAACTGATACAAATATAAATGAATACTCATCACACAAATACATACACACATTAAAAAATTGAATATGAGTATAATTGATACAAATACAAATGAATGTTCGTCAAATAAATACTCATACACATTCAAACATGAAATACATGTATAACTGATACAAATACAAATAAATACTCATCAAACAACTACACATGTACATTTGAAAACAGAATACGGGTATAACTGATATAAATACAAATGAATACTCATTAAAAAAATACACATACACATTCGAAAATGAAATACGAATATAATTGATACAAATAAATATTCATTAAATAAATAATCGTACACATTTGAAAATGGAAGAAACAACTTGTATTTACTTATATCCATTCTAAAATATGGAAGTAACAATTTGTATTCATTTTGAAGATAAAAAACAATATACTGATTGTATTTGACCTCTCTGTTCAAAATTGAAATTGATGGTCAATTGAATATTATGACATCACAACCTTTAGCATTGCCTAGTCTCAGTAAGCTTGATCTACCATTACCTCTTTTTGATTAGTGTTTAAAATAATCTCGCAATTGATCAAATCACACACAACTGACACACATACTTCTACAAGCACTAATGTTTGTTCATCAAATGTATCATTTGTATTTATACCACATAGTCCCCACCCCTTTTATTTGAAGGTTTCTGTCACTATATTCCTTACCCTTGACCAATACAGTTACACATAATGGATACTTTCTCATTTTTTTTAGATCTTTCTTCAATTAGACATACGTTCTTACTCCCATATCGTTGTATATTTTTAGAGAGGCATCATTATATAGTTGCATCTCAAATCTATATCAGTTTGTTTAGCAATTTCCTCAACTAATTTCTATATGTTGCATACTTTTTTAATATAATTGCCTCTATCGTATATCCAACATAGCAAATGTATTCATTTCAACTTTTCAAATGCATGATCGGAAAACTAATGCTTGTCATTGCTATAGTACCTTTCAACAAGTTAAACTCAATTTTAGATCGAAATCTCTATCAAACACACTAAAATAAGCAATAACATACTTTGTATATCCATTACAAATCTACCCATTCAATATAAAATTGCAAATTCCTAAATTTCTACCCCAATCAAATTTGTATGTCAATCAAAACTTGTATGCACGTTGGAATGACTAAAAATTTAGATGCATACCGTTGAATATTAACAACAAATTATACCTAACAATGTAACAATATAGTATCATAATTTATACACGAATATGACAAAGATAACACCTTATCAATGGTGAGTTGAAGATGTTGTGACAAAGAAAACACCTTATTGATGGTGGGTTGAAGAATAAATGTGAATTACCAAATTTGTGTTTCAATTTGCTGCTTGGATCGATGCGTTAATTTGAACTCTCTAGAGAGAACGACGTCCTGTTATGAAATGGAAAGAGTCCAGGAGTAATTGTAGTTGATTTACCATATTGAAAAAAAAATTAATCCGAGATTTACTTCAGTTAGGTAGTTTGATTTTTTTCTTAGCACCAACGAAAAAATACAATTCGTAGCAAACCAAAGTGTAGCTGCGTATTGTAATTAGTGAAATGGTAGCTAAGAGTGTATTAAAACATGATGTTTGTTGTTTCTGAAAATTTCTCTAAATTATACCCCTAACCTAAAAAATAGAGGAAAAAATACGCGGTTAAGCAAACATATACTAATTAATTAGTCATCATAGCCATAGTTTTCGTTAATTACTATTCACAACCAACATTTAGAGATAATTACGTCGCCCACTTTTTTCAGTTTGTATAAGTGTGTACGTTTGTATAATGTAATTTGTATAACTTTTGTATAATGTAATTTGTATAATATTATTTGTACAACTGTTTAAAGTTCAGATGTTTGTGTTTGTATAAATTTGTTACTTCGAGTTTATACAAAAATAAATACAAATCAATTGATACTAATCAATTTATATAAATATGAACGAGAATAACTCAATTATACAAACGTACCCGCAAATTACACAAACAAAATCCCCATAACAACTTAAACTATAACTTTTTTTTTTTTGATAACCGAGAAATCCGTCTGTGACCCGTCCTTTTGGACCAATCACAGCCTTCTAAACTCGGTGGATAATGGACCCGCCCCTCTACTCTTCTCCACTTAAATACCGGGCTTCGCTTTGCGTGGTGTGGGGCTTGAACCTGCCACCTAAGCCACAAATCCTCCACCTTTTGCCACTTGAGCTAGGCCTTGGGGGCACAACTTAAACTATTACTACCGCCGGTAAATATGCAAACTAGAACTAAGAAGCCTAATTAAATTTATTATAGTAACTATTTATGAAATTTCCTAAAAAGTAAATAAAAAAATTATTGTTTACTCCATTCTAACACATTTATCAATTATTATAATATAATATAATATAATATAATATAATATACATACAATAAAATAAATACGCAATTATCAATGCTTAATCCTTCTCTTTGGCTCTGTGTTCCTCTACTCCCTCTTTCTCTGAGAGCCACACCTACACAGACACCCAAAAACTCTCTCTTTCTCTTTGTTCTCATCTATCCATATGCTCTCGAGCGGCATATTCTTGTCGATTTGCTAGCACCATGACAAAACAGTCATCAATGGATATGTAGCTTTACACCCACCATAACAAATCCAATAATCTAAGTTTTCGACCAGAAATTGGTCGATCATCTTCTCCATCTGATTCTCAGGTTCTCGCATCGACCCATTAATTTTCCTGCTCATACATATATATAGTCTAAATTTCAACTTCTGGTTCTTTTTCTTTTCTCCATTGAATTCACTGTTTAGTTTTTGCTCTTATATAAAAATGGTATTTGTTTGATTTTTTTCTTCTTAAAATTAGGATCTATGATTCTACTGAGTTCAATTATTGATATTAATATTGGGTTTTAATCAATTTTGTTCCTTTTGTGTTGGATTGCTCGATTTTGACAAGACTTTTTGAGTTTTCAGTTACTTGCAAAACTTGCTCGGTGATATCGAGGATTTGACTTTATTGGTCATAGTTGTTGGGTTTTGGTGATAATCACGAAGTTATGATATTAACGGCAACCACATTTGGGGAAAATTCTTGATTTTTTCTCCTTCCATTACCAGACAGCTCACGAGTTACTTAGAGATTGTATGTTCTTGTTGGGGTAAGTATGAAATGTACAGAACCCTTATGTTGTGTTAAAAAAAATACTCCACTTAGTATTGGAATGAAATGGACTTGAATAGAGCAGTAAGGCATCTAAATGATTCATATTTTAGACTCCAATTAACTTAGAGTTGAGGTATTTTGGAGGAAATGATCTCTTTGGCCACTTATGAATTGGATAGAAGAAAATGACCTTTTCAGATCTATTACTATGAGGACATAAAACTAAAAACAAGTTTGTAAAGGGCTACCAAACCAAATCTCCTGGTGATTTTTCATGTTAATCCTTTTTTATCTTTGTTATTAATATCCATTTTCATCCTTGACAGTAGGCATGAGCAGTCAAGTTAGCTGTTTTTTTCTTGACAAAATACTGAATAATGTTGATGATTGCTTTCTCGGGCATGAGAATTTTGCTTTGTATTTGTCATTTGAACATTCAAGTTCTACTAAGTATAGGGAAATAGCAAGGATTATGATAAGAATTGGGTTATTTGAATAAACAAGAAAAGAATGCAGAAACAAAAATCATACCCAGTGAAATCCCACATTGAGGTGTTGGGAGGGTAGAATGTAGTAGACCTTATCACTACCTCGTGGAGGGAGAGAGGTTGTTTCCAAAGAAAATACAACAAACAACAACATACCCAGTGAAATCCCACTAGGTGGGGTCTAGGAGTTTCCAAAGAAAATACTAAGATTAAAATGTAGAATTGGAAGATATGTGAAATTTGAGAATAAAATCGCCAAATTTTAAGATAAAGTCTTAAGATATCTAAGTGATCTTAGTATCAAAATTAGTGGATTAAAACTAGTTATGATACTATATGAGTCAATTCAAGAACATATATCAAAAGTGATCCAGACCCATATTTTGAAGAAATTAGAGGCAACAATTAGTGGAAGACTAATTACATTATTTAATTTACTTTAGTTAAAACCAAAGATATCAAGTTAGGAATTAATTTTACCTCTTAAAGAATCGTTCTTGTAAGATTGTAAGATAAATTCATAGTCACCACACACAAACGTGTAAAAAAGGGAAACCTCTCAAACGATATTGATCATGTCTTTTGAAAATAACAAAATTCACCCCTAAATACTGGGAAACCAATCCCAAATAACATGGGATTCAAATCCTACTTTTATGATAATAACAACTAGGAAACTTTTAAACTAGTAAAATAAGTAAAACTATTCCAAAAACTACCTAACAAAAATAATGGTAGAAGTGCAACATTTGCACCCAAATATAATGTCCAAAAATGACACGGGCTTCTCTTGGGCTTCATGTGGGGCCCTCCATTGGGTTCTCATGCTGCCCTAATCTTCCTTCTCGTGTACTTGTACTTAGATCAAGAAATATATGTAACATTTAGGTCACTTCTTGCCACAATTCTTGGGACACTTCTTCCTCGATAATCATCTTCTTGATTTTTCATTGAACCCTTCAACTTTAATGGAGGTGCACCGCCGTGGATGCTATCAGATTATGTTGTCTCCACCAAGAGAAAGAACATTTTCATCTTTTGTTGAGTTGAGTTTGTGGTACTTGTATTGTGTTATTCACGCTTAATTTGTTGGTTATTCAGTCCCCTCACTTTGATAAATTTCTTCACCCAATAGTTTCATCTGTCACGTGAAGTGATCTGACTGCAGCAACTGCTTTAGCTTCAGTGAAAGGCATGGCTGAAGAACGAGTGAAAATTGGTATTCCCTGTGTGCTTGTTTATACATATCCAATGTGTACTCATTATTCAAAGACCTTAATCACTTCATTTATATGCTAGTGATACTACTTTGTGTCTGCGATCTATTAGGAATACTTAAGCATCTTGATTAGCGCTAAGTACCTACCTTTAAACAATCATTTTGTCCAAGACTCCATATTTATGTTTTACAATATTCAAAGGGAATGGAGTGGTGTGATACAAGGGGTTATCACTTCATGTGTCATGTGTGAACAATGTGCATTACAGAAGCATGCATTCCAGACAATGAGATGCAAAATTCTATGGAGAGAAGCGATTAGTTTCTTTATACGAGATGAAAAAGAGATTAAGAAAAAATGGACATTTTTCTGTTTGAGCAATAAAGCTTGTCTCCATGTACCGTTATGTTTTCTTTTGCAACATTAACTTCTGCTTGAGTTTGTAATGCTTATACTATGTTCCTTTTTTACTTTCTTCTTCAAACACAAACTTTTTCTCTTTCTTCTAGTTGCAAGTGTCTCCCTCTGCCATTTCTTATTCTGAGCTTCTCTTTTGCTTCTTTCTTCTTCTATGATTCTATCTCAGTACTTTACTAAAACAGTCAAATATTTTATGATGTAAATGTATGCTTTTATATGGTAAAATTGGAAGTCTATTTAGTGATTGAAGTTATCATCCCATGGACATTGAAATTTATATGTTCATGATGCTTACATTTACTTGTTTGATTATTACTATCATTATATGTTGGATTCTGAAGTTAGTTGCTTGAAGTTATAAGCACAAAAAATCGTACTTCCTCCTTCCCAATGTATGAGATGCACTTAAACTCGGCACATAGTTTAAGAAAGAAAAACTTTTGAAACTTGTGGTTTTAAACAAGTTATAGATATTTCTATGGCTATATCTCGTTAAAGATAAATTGAAAAGTTCAAAGTTAAGTTGTTTTACATATAGCAATGCATCATTTTTCTTGCAACCAACTTAAAAAGCAAGTGCATCACATAAATTGGAACAGGGGGGAGTACATGGGTACAATATTTTTTTGTTTGAATTATGCACTTAACTTGGAAGACACAAGCACTTTGTTCTTGCCTTTTGCGTAAAGCCCTTGTGCTTCGTCACTTTTTACTTTGAATAGGTGCGCACGTTCTTATTGCTTTTTTTTATTTTGTGTTGTTGTTGATTTCCCATTTTGTTTGTTATTACCTTAAACCTTATTGTTCTTTTTTCTTTTGAAGTTGGGGGTGGTTTAGAGGGAAAATCTAGACTTTTTTTTCCTCTTCTTTTGGGGTTTGGGGAGATGGTTTAAAGGTTGTTTGTTGTTTTTATTGTTATTTTTTTATGTATATAGTTATCACATTCATCTTTATCCATGTTCTTTTTTTTCCTTTCGGTTGGGGGTTGTTTAGAGGAAAAATGACAAGTTAGTTGAAAATGCTTAGTTTACCTTTCCTTGTCACCTTTCTTTTGGGGATTCCTATTTCACTTAGGCAATTTAGTTATGTTTTACTCTTTTACTCTATTTAGTGGCTTCTAGATCATAAATTGGTAATGTAATTGTAACTTTTCATTTGTGTTAATTTAGTGGTTTAACTTAAAGGGATCCATCACCCTTACTCATTGTCTGTCTTGATTGAAGATTTTGGGATAGGAATGTTTCAAGAGATTGCTTAAAGGGGGGGGGGGGGGGGGAGTGTTTTGTGGCTGTCTTTCAGTCTTCTGTTGTCAACCTCAAAATTTTGGCTGAATTGTAAAGTATAATTAAGGTGCAGATTGGGTAAGTACTAACTTGCTTATGCCAGCAAACGGAGCCAAAATTAATAATAACTGAACAGTTTCAGTGCAAGCACTTTATCCCTAAGAGTTTCTCCAAACCGCTGGTTATCACTTATTATTAGTTAGGAAAAAAAACTTCCGATTTTCGTAGTATGTCTGATTATATTAATATTAGCACTTACTATAATCTGACAGGTCAAAATATTAAGGTGACATTAGGACAGTTTTTCGGTGAAGAGTTCCTTTTCTTTTCTCAAAAATATTTTTGAAAAAAGTTTTGTGAAAAACAATGTGTTTTGATGACCCTTTGAATGAATATTTTAGAGAACAATGGGTTTGATTGGATGTTTTCTCGAGAAACAAAAAACTATGTTTGACGATCTTTTCCTTTGCAAAGTTCTTCATCAAACCTTCACATCATTAATTCCATCAATGTTATGCAAATATCATGATTGAACTTTTTTAAAAGGACATGCGTATGCGTTAGCCTAATATTAACTTCTCTTTTGAGTTGAGGGTCTATCGAAGACAACCTCTCTACCCCGCAAAGATAGGGGTAAGGTCTGCATACATCTTATCCTCCCAGACCTCATTTGTGTACACTGGGTATGTTGTTGTTGCATTAGCCTAACATTAAGTGTCCATTTGGTCGGAGATTGTTTTCACCTTTTTCTGGAAAACTGTTTGGACATAGTATTGATCCAATTTTTCGAAATTCAAAAGGTTGTTTTCACAATTTTCACTCCAAATTACTCACAAAATCCGAAAACAACTCCAATTTGTATCCATGTCCAAACACAATTCCAAATACCACTTGCAACTTGAAAAAAATATTGTTCTTTTAAAATTTCGCAATGCTTATGTCCAAATGCCCTCTAGCTTACAACAACATACCTAGTGTTATCCCACAAGTGGGGTTTGGGAAGGGTAGTGTGTACGCAGACCTTACCCCTGCCTTGGAAGGTAGAGAGACTATTTTTGATAAATCCTCTTCTCAAGATGAAGCACATCAAAGTAGTTAGGGAAAAAGATAATGGCATGTGAAGATAACATTGAACTACTTGCTAAAGAAATACTAAAGACAACATTACACGACATTCTTGGGAAAAAAGGAACAACTACAACAAAATAATACTATAATCTAAGTATAAGAAACAACAAATAGTAATAGAGATCGAAGACCAATAAACTACAAGAGTAGTACTACGATTAGTAGTATAGAAAGGTACGTGAGACAATTTCAACTTACCTACTACCCATCTATCCTAATTCATGTGCTCCATAGCCTCCGGTCTAAGGTCATGTTCTCGGTAAGTTGAAGATGTGTCATGTCCTGTGTAATCGCCTCTCCCTTATACTTCTTTGGCCTACCTTTATCTCTCCAAAAATCATCCATAGCCAACCTCTCACATCTCCGCACTTAGGGCATCTGTGCATCTTCTCTTCATATGCTCGAACCACCTCAGCCCACTTCCCGCATCTTATCCTTCACCGAGACTCCCATCTTGTCCCGGATATCTACGTTTCTAATCCTATCTCTCTTAGTAAGTCCACACATTCATCTTAGCATCCTTATTTCCACAACTTTCATCTTCGAACGTGAGTTCTGGACTGACTAATACTTTGCCCCATACAACATAGTATGTTTAACCACCACTTTGTAGAACTTGCCTTTAAGTTTTGGTGGCACCTTTTTATCACACAAGACTCCTAATGCGAGCCTCCATTTCATCCACGCTGCACCAATACAATCGGTGATATCATCGTCAATCTTCCCACTACCTTGGATAATAGCCCAAGATACTTGAAACTTTCTGTCTTTTGGATAAATGCCCACTAAGTTTGTAACATAAAAATATAAAGTAAAAAAAAGTTAAATGGTAAGATTATATTTTGGAAAATTAGCTTAATGTTAGAGGAATTTTAATGGAGCTTGTTGAACATAGTAGTAATGTAGAAATATAGCTGAAACATTAAAAGAGAAATATGACGGTGAGAAATGAGGGTCAAGGTGATAATATTGAAAATTTGTAGGCTATTGTGGGAGTAAGTTTGGTTTGGATTTTGCTTTTGCTTTATCTTCTTTTAAGGAAAATGCTTTTAATAGAAAAAGTTCTTTTGAGAACAAGACAAACTCCGAACATGGCCAAAGGATAATGTGTCTTAGGCAAGACTTAATGATACAGTTATGTATCAACTCCGAGAAGTATGCAACTAGATGGAAGTGTTTTCTTTAATCCCCCCCCTACACACACACACAAACCCCATCAGGAGGATCAATAGTGTTTCTACTTACCCTCCATCGACTCGAACTCTCAACCTACCGGTTGATGGTGGAGGTGTTCAACCACTTGTCCAACTAGATGGAAGTTTTACTGCTTTAAAAGTTGAATTATGATATTAAATGTAGCACTATAAAACTTTAATTTCTTTCAGACAAGCAGAAAAGAGTTGGGCTCATTGCTTCAATGGGCTAAACATGTCCTTTGAGCAACTGTAATTATATTGATCATTTAGCAACTAATAAATAGGTCTTCTGTATCCCTCTATCTGTTTATGTTCTTCTATTCATATCATCAAATCCTAAACTTAGGTGATGACAAATCCTACTTTTCGATCGGTACATGATTATTAGATAGCGGCACTTGTTTCCATGTAACATAAGCTCGTTTTGTTCTTCACTGGCTCGTCAAATCTAGAGAACAAATTGAATGATCGTTGTTTGATGAGCATTAATGTGATTGTAGATGCTTTCTCACAGTTGTCTTTGTATATGTGTTAATGATTTGGTGCTTGCTGAAGTTCTTCAATTCATGATCATCTAATGTTTTGTAGTTGTATTGTCGCTTTTTACTCAGATTGTGACTGCTATACACTATGTTGGCATAATTTAAACATATTCTTTACATACTTGGAAATCGGAATAGATGATCTCTAAGTTGCTAGTTGTACATAAACCAATTTCAGTTTTCGATAAATTTTTTTGAACAGCTAAAACTTAGATTATGTTGTAACCTTTTTCCGCTCTCAACTTCTGTTAATGTGGATCTTTCAGAGGATTCCTTCACTGGTGCTCTTAAAGGCCCTTGTGTTTCTCAAAATGACCCACATGCAAGGGGACAGAAGTGTTTTGGACTCCTTTCCAGAAAACATTGATCTTAATCAGGGATCCGTTTCAAATAATGCTTCCATGGATGCGACAGCTCCCTGGGATAGCTTTCGGAATCCAGTAGAGAATCGATTGTCAAATCCCTTGCTTTCTCCTTCTGGAAGAAATCCTAGTTATGTTAATGGTGTTAATTATAATGCTCAAAGATTTAGTGGCTGGGATCAAGGTGAATCCAGCTCCACTGCTAATTTGCATGACCGCACACGTGGCAGTGACTTGAAAATAGGACAAGGTTGGACTTCTTCATCAAATGATTATGTTATGATTAATCCAAGGTCAGAACACCGATTTGAACCTTCTAATGTCTTTTCTGCAAGCGGTTATGGTGGCAATCATGTAATTGGCAGGCCTCCTAGTGTATCATCAAGCCTTACCTTGGATCATAGTCCAGTAAATGCTAATTTGAGTGGTGGATACAATAATGATGATGGTCGCCTGGTCATGCGAACAAGTGTACCTCCACTTCACAAATCTGATAGGTCGGAAGCGGTGCATCCTCCGGCTTTTGGTGCATCTGATGACAGTGGTACCTTTACAGGTAGTTCTGGTTATTTGACAGGGAAAAGTAATGTATCAAGTTCTTCTATGGATAATTGGGGTTCATCTTGCAAGCGGAAGGCTATTGAAGGCAATTCTGGACATTCTTTTGCAGGTGGAAGTTCAAGCTCCAATGCAAGACCTGAGAACACTGTACAGCATAACTATCCAAGTAGTAATAATGCTTCGAGCAGCTTAAACATACTACCCCGTTCTGCAAATATGCAGAATGTTGGTTATCTGGAGAATACTTATCCAAGAAATGGGGTTGGTATAAGTATGTCTGCTTCTGATGTATTTCCTCCATTAAGTGCTGGTGGAATTGCAGAAAGCTCTGCAAGAAATTTTGGTGCTATAGCAAATCTTGTGAATCAGGATCTCATTACATCTGGTTTACTTCCGATTGGCACTACTGTAGGGCATTCTAGTGTCAGCCCTGCCCATGTGCCACCTGGATCTGCCTCAGTAACAAGCTCTTTGGACTCGAGACAACCATTTGCACTGCCAATGAATTCAGGTAACCTTGGAAGCCAGTCTCACATGATGCAAGTTCCTGGTTTTTCTAGAGGTTTTCACTCGTTTCCCTGGGATGCATCTCCTAGTTCACGAGGCGGTAGTTCATCAATGATTTCTGGAGATAGAGGCGCTTCATTGGGAGATGAAGCTAACTTCAGTACTGTCAGAAATAATGGGGAGTCCCATCCATTTGTTCCTGTTCCTGAGACAAGAAATATGGTACTTGACCCCACAAATTGGAGCTTAGCTACTGCGAATGCAACCTCTTCTAGAAATATTCCTAGCTCTGCAGTGGGTCCTGGTTCAAGAGCACGTAATTCTCCTACTGCATGGGCTAATCAGAATTCAGCAACTACTAGCTATGATGGATTACCAGAATTTGCTCCTTGGGTTCTCTTCCCATCAGGTGAGCCCGAGTCTGGAAGTCAGAGAGGTCATTCTTCTCTGCTGCCTTCAGCTGCTTCTTCCTCAGAGGAGCCAGTGATGTCTTCCCGATATAGTAGCCGGGGTAACCGTCAACCACATCGTAGATCGAGTTTGATGGTTGATCCAGGTGATGATGTGGATGGTTGGCGTGCTTTAGCTGCTGATGTTGAGGGTCGACACAGACTGGTATGAGGTTTGCTTGCCATAATAATATCTAAAGCTGTTGTGTTTGGTATATGTAGGTATCTTAACTTGGTTGTCTTGTATCTGGCATGATTGATGTAAAAGATATTTGATCCCATTGGTATTTTATCCTCCCGAAGACTTCTTTTTATTTATTGCTTTGTTTAAATAGCTTTATTTCCAGTTGGATTCGTTTGGTCAATGAATTTAAAGTGGCTTGTTAGCACTCATCAGTGATCACTTTAGGCTAAACAGCAACCAATATGTTATGATTTTACCAATGACCGTGTTTACCATGCTATTTGGTTTGTCCAATCTATGAATTTGATTTGTAATGGTTCACCACTTATGCAGCTATCCTTGTTATTTCTACATGTCTTGATTTTGAGTTGCTCTAAACCTGCCAATAATTTCCACTTCCCTTACCGAATTGGGGACTTTGTCAGTGCTGATTAATCTTTTCTCCACTTATGTTCAACAGATTCGTCAAGTCCTGAATGCCATGCGGAGAGTCGAAAACTTGAGATCAGAGGTTTAATCTCAATCCTTATAATAATCCGATGAATATATATTTAGCAAAAATGAGTTGCAGCTTGTTATCTGAAATTGTGTACATACATATACTTTTAATCCTTTTCAAAGCCCTGAAAGTTTGAAAACAATACTAATACTTGTAGCTGTGCTATGTTAGCTTTGGTGAGAAAGGTAAGGATTACATGGCCTGCATAAAGAAATGGATCTTGGGCTTTACTCAACCCCAAAAGCTAGCTCAAGAGGTGATGATTGCCCAAGACCATGTAAGGATATAGATTTGCCTCCCACCCAGGGATGTGGGACTTAACAGCCTTCATGGTAACATTATTGCCTGGATGAGGAAAAAAGACTTGCTATTATTTCTGATCAAGTCAGTTTGAGTTTTCTAATGATCAAAAGAAGAAAGAGCGAGTTTGAATTTTCTGATTGCAATTTGGATGGATAAGAGGTTTTAAGTTTTCGGAGCCAGTTATTTAACTAGTCTCGATGACAAGATCAAATTGCATCTGATTTTTCATTATGAAGGTTCTAATTCTTGATTCCCTTCTAGAAGAGAGCTCTCTTGGTGCAGTCTTCCTCATTGGACAGGGTCTTTTTCCAACCCTTCATCCTTGATCAAAAATGCTCATTACCTGATCCAACTGCTAAATTATGAACTTGTTACTGCTAGCCAATTAGAATAGCTCAATTTTGCTTGGCTACTTTATTTGCTGACTTCTTACTGATGAAGAATTTCTGTTGACTTTTGTGGACACTTTCTCAGGATTATATGTTGGTTGATCCATTTATCAATGGAGTTGCTGAGTTCCATGATAGGCATAGGGCCATGAGGCTCGACGTTGATAATATGTCCTATGAGGTAATGTAGTTTAGTTTTGTTGTCACTAAATTTCTAGATGCAGGTCTCACTGATTGCTTCGTCTGTTAGGAACTATTGGCTTTGGAAGAACGTATAGGAAATGTAAACACAGGCTTGAGTGAAGAAACAATTTCGGTCAATATGAAACAGCGGAAGCATGGGTCTGTACGTGGACGGTCCTCATCCAACTTGGAACCTTGTTGTATATGTCAGGTAAGTATCTTATCTGATGTTTTTACATATATTATTAGATACTCCCTCTGTCCCAATTTATGTGACTTACTTTCCTTTTTAGTCAGTCCCAAAAAGAATGACACATTTCTATATTAAGTAACAATTTGACTATAAAATGTCTATTTTACCCTTAATGAAATGATTTACAGCCACACAAATTTCTATCATTAATTTTGGACCACAAGTTTTAAAAGTCTTCCTTTCTTTCTTAAACTCCGTGCCGAGTCAAAGTACCTCACATAAAATGGGACGGAGGGAGTAATAGTTATCCCAGAACAAACTTTTTGGCAGATTTGTTAGCTAAAGTTTGTCCCATTTCTTGTACTAAAATCAGGAGGAATACACAGCTGGAGATATCATGGGCATGTTGAATTGTGGGCATGAATTCCATACTAATTGCATTAAGCAGTGGTTGGTCCTGAAGAATACCTGTCCCATATGTAAGATGACTGCCTTGGAAACTTGAAAGAATTACTTGCGACAGCTATTTTTTCGTCTTCTATTTCCTCCCCGTGTTCCAGTTAAGAAGACGGTGAACGAACACAAAAAGAAAAATAAGGGAGGTTCTTGTCAACTTAGTAATACTATACTAAGGCTCCTGGAAAATCCTACTCATGATGGAACCAAAGGAGTTGCAAGTACAAAGATTTGACATTGTGTTGAGGGAATTATTTAAACCTTTCTCTTTTTTTGTGTTGCAGACATTTGCATCGAGTAATACATCACTAGACCAAAGACAGGTCTTGGAGGTGATATTGTCCATTTCTTGGTTTGTTGTGGGATTCTAACATGACACAAATATCACAGATATTTGAACCATAGCTTCAATATAGATCCCTAGATCATACCCAACAACACACAATTAGGTGCTTAATGCCACATTATCACAAAATTAATCGTGAATAGCACCAAAAACCAGTTCATACATCACATTTTTGCTATCATACAAGAGTAACCCTTTCTCCAAGGTTCCCAAACAATACCGACTGTTCCGAAATCAGAGTTTCTATACAGTCACGATTCATTCTTTCCCCTTACCATCTTTACCAACGGTAAGTCTGTCAATTTTAACACAACATTTCCAATTAATGACAACAATTTATCATCAACCCTCATATAACCAAATAATTCCTCTCTTTCTGACGACACTTCCAGGAATTCAAGCAATTACAATTTATACATGGGAAACTGTTTAAGTAATGCATTATACATAATAACAATCATCAAACTTTATCATCATATTAAATCAGGCTCATTATATTTATTTGCATCATGGATGACCACTAACTGACCATTTATGCATTCATGTGATCCTTAAGGCTAGATATCAATTGGAACTTTCTCGATTTCAATATTTCCTTGTTTGTGTCCCTTCTGTCGTGACAATGACATTTAGTTTACTTTGCTAAGATATCGATTGGAATCATGAGATACTAGTTGGACCCGACTCATACCACAAGTAACCAACTGCACGAAAGAAGTGAAGAAGTGAGAAGACTTTCTAGAATGCTTCATTGTTCCCTGAAGATTAAATGTGGATACCAACACACCACTTCATAAGACTCTATTCGACATTTTCTCTTGTATTGGGAGACTGGTAACTTGGGCTTTAATATCAAATTGTCACGATCTGATTCATTGTGTCATGCAGGCACCTACTCTATAACCTAGATAGGAGAACCCGTATCACCCAATTTAAACGGAAAATGCGGAAGTAAAACGAAACATGATATATTGCCTTAATAAAATGAAAAAAGTTGGTCTCTATCTCAATTTCAATAGATTTTTTTTTTTGAAAAATACACGAAAATCCTTCCAAGGAACTAGTCTAAAACAAGTATAAGAGCTACTAAGAGGGTATAAACTTAAAAAAAAAATAGACACAACTCCCACCATAAGGAAAAGAGGAGAAAAAGTTGTCGAAGATTACTATCGTCTTCACCTATGAAACATCACTAACCCTGTAACCAAACTATGCTAAGTAACATATCAAGAGTAGTATCAATACAAACAACATGTATTGAAATGCGTTATCGATCGACCCGAATTCACCGCCTAATATAAAGTAGACATTCAGAAGAAAACATACAATGTGAATGATATACCACCCTAAGTCTTTATCTACACACTTTTACCATTTCAAGTATTATGCCCATAAACTAGTACACTTTGATCCCAGTTTTCTATCTCATTCAGCTTCCAACTTCACCATTAAACATTCGACACTCTTACCACTTTAAGGCTTTCCAAACCTACCTTTTATGTCATCCTAAGGCTTCCCAAGCCTACCTAATTGATCAAATATATCTTCGACCACCTTAACAGACACACAATCCACATAAATCAATTTATAAGACCAACAATCTTGGTCATCAACCTGATCTAACCAAACATGAAATATGTCTCACATGATTACAAACAAATCCATACCTGAGCCTAAACTCACCTTTTAAGTAACTTGGACCACCCAAAAATCCTCTAAGAGATAGTCTCCCGTGTTTAATATGCAATCCAAGTCTACATGAGAACCATCGATCCCATCATTAAATACACCAATCGGCCACTCAGGGATCAACATGCGATAAATATAACATAATAAAGAGATCTAGTCTACTTATTGAACCAACAAGTAAAATAACGTCACGAAGAAGTAAACCGGATTCTCTTGTGAAATCCGCACAAACTATTAGTGTACCAGTGTGGTATCTGAGCCAACCATTATTGGTACATATCATGTGTGGTATTTGAGTCAACCATTAGTATTCGATTTCAATATGGTATCCGAGTTAATCATTAGTATTTCGTATCGGTGTGGTATTCGAGCCAACCATCAATCACAAGCAACATGGACAATCACAATGAACAACTAACCTGAAACCACAAGTAAATAAACAAGTTCATTGCATGAGATTATCAACATGAAATAAGTTTCAATGCCTTTTAGTTTTACCCACATGCATTACACAAAAATACTACAAGCAGTTAACATGCACACATTACATATCTTGAAAAAAACAACATCACATATATATATATATATATATATATATATATATATATATATATATATATATATATATATATATATAAAAGGCCGTTCTTTATTGTTGCATGACGTCCTATATGCTTCAGAGATTCAACGAAATTTAGTATTCGTGTCTGTTCTTTTAGACGTTAGTTTTAATTTGTTTTGCTAGTCACAATGATGTTAAAATAGCTCTCAATAATATTTTATATTGTTTTGAACTTAGTTTTGATTGTTTTGATATTTTAGATTGTAATCCTTCAATTTATGACTATTATGTTGACCGTTGTGTAACGGCATGTTATTCAAGTAACAATGATATTGATGTTATTACATGACATGCAAGATTAGGTCACATAGGGCAATATCGAATGAATAAGTTGGCAAAGGAAGATCATTTAGGTTCTTTCACCAAAATTGATATGCCAACTTGTGAAAATTGTTTTGCTACAAATATTACACGTAAATCATTTGAGAAGGCTAAAAGAGTCGAGCTCCCGCTTCAATTAATTCATTCTGATGTTTGTAGTCCAATGAATGTAAGGGTAAAGTCTGGTGCTACATACTTCATTATATTTATTGATGATTTCATGCGCTTTGGTTATGTCTATTTGATTTCTCGTAAATTTGAAGCACTTGCGTGCTTTAAAAGATATACGAATGAAGTTGAAAATCAATAAGATAAATGTATAAAGTCTTTAAAAACCTGTGGAGGACGTGAATGTTTGTCAAAACAATTTGAAGAATTGTGTACTAAAAAGGACATTATCAGACAGTTAACTACTCCTTACACACCCTAACAAAAAGACGTAGCTGAATGAAGGAATAGAACATAGTTGGACATGACAAGGTCAATGATGGTGCAAACAAATTTGTCTATCTCTTTATGGAGAGATGCATTATTGGTTGTGGCCTACATATTGAATAAACTGCCCTATGAATCAGTATCGTCCAATCCTTATAACTTTGAACTGGTCATAAAACAAACCTGAATGATCTATGACCTTGGGGTTATGCTGCATATATTAAAGATCGTTTTGGTGAATTTGGTAAACTAAGTCCAATAGGAAAGAAATGTATCTTTATAAGGTACTCTGAACACTCCAAAGGGTATGTGTTCATTGAATAACTTGAGTATGAAAGTATAACTGAAATTGTATCACGAGATGTCAGATTTTTGAAAAATTATTTTCTCAAAAAGGGTGAAATAGATGAACGTGAGACGTCAATTACATAAGAGTACACAAAAAGGTGTACCTAAACGATCTTATGAGATTGTAAATTATATTTTCTTGGTATCTCCCATAGAACTAGATGAACCTAATTATGCGACTGGGGCTTTATCAAACCCTAAAAAGGATGAATGGTTAAAAGTGATCGATAAAAGAAAAATTAGAGTCCATGAAAATCTGGTCATGATAAATCAATAAATTGAAAAATGATTCCTGATCCAAGTGAGAGTTCTTACAAATTTAAAAGTACATGAGATTTTTAAAAAAATAATAGATATAGAGAATACATCTTTTTTAGAAATGAACAAAACTTAGGCCCAAACCATTACTTTAATTACCTTATAATGTGATGGAGAAATATAAATCTATATATCCATATAAAGCTGAAACTAAGCACGCTGATATGGCACAACTCATTGGCCAGTATTACTATTTATGTTATTTCTCAAAATTTTTATTTTTTTGTTTCATTTTTTGATAATAACTTTTTAAAAATTACTACACTCTTTCCTTTTATTACCATTTATTACATTTAACTTTTCCTTCCAAATATAACTGCTAAGTACATAATGATGCAAAAATAACTTATTGACTACTCCCTCTGTCCAACAATAGTTGTCCACTATTGACTTGACACACCCTTAAGATACTATAAATAGAAGGGTAATTTTACTATATCACCCTTTGAATATAATTAATATAATGTCTTGAAAATGTAATAGGGAAATGACTATAATTAATGATAAAGGTAAATTAGGAACTAAGTGTAAAATTATCCATGGATTTCATTAAGTGGACAAGTATTATTGGACATCTATTTTTAGTATAGTGGACAAATATTGTTAGATGGCGAGAGTACAAATTAGCACAAATTGCAAACGTTTCACTATTTTTTTTTAATAATAATTGCAACATTAATAATTGTATTTAATTTCTAAAAGAAATTTAATCTATGTTCATCTTCTCTATTTTCCTAAGTATATTCTCTCTACAACTTGCAAACGTTTCAGTTATTTTTTGTATTTTTTTTTATAATTGCAACATTAATGATTATATTTAATTTCTAATAGCTATTTAAACTTTGTTCATCCTCACTATTTTCCTAAGAATATTTTCTCTACAACTATGAAATTTCTTTTACTTATTGTTCCTTTGAGAAACAAGAGGTCATTCCTTGTGGAATGATATTCGGCTAAAAGTATATATTAATATTACATTATTGTCTTATATTTTATGCATAATTTTTTTGAGTGTTTTGAGTTTATTATGAATTTTATGTGCAGAAAATGTATCGAATGAGCGTGAATACATGATAACAAAAAGATGTGATATTTGCTCCTTTTGAAGCAAATAAACGAAGATTAAAGGATGACTAGGTCCTCACCTCGCGAGATACACAAGTGAAAAAAAATCAAGAGATTTTAA